ATCTTCCAAAGCATAGTATATTGCAATCAGAAAAAAAGGATTGAAGAAATGGGAAGAAACAACTTGAATAAAGCAAGAACATGATTCACTGATGACAGCATCTGAAAATGGATTTTACAAAGCATGAGAAGAAATCCTAACAGACTCAATTAAATTTAACTATCATAAATGTAGCAACAAAGTATTTTTTCATATTTAATACGTTTGTAAAAAGCTACAGGCTTAGTCTCTAGTGCTGTGAATATATTTAAAGCAGGATTTTTCAAACTTTTTCACTGCTTCGACATCTTAGGGTATGTCCACACTACAGTTTCCACAGCAGCACAGCTACAGCACTACAGCTATGCCTCTGTAATGCCATAACGTAGACGCTTCTTACACTGACAGAAGGGGTTTTCCATTACCACCACTCTGAATGGCTGTAGTTAGGTCAACAGAAGAATTCTTCTATCAACCTAACTGTATCTACATTGGGTGTTAGGTCAACCTAACTATGGTGCAGAATTTCTCATAGCCCTGAGAGATGCAGCTAGGTCAAACTAATTTTTCAGTGTAGATCAGCCCACAGCTTTTCCTTCCCATTCACAAATCACATTTTGCTGTGGCAACCACAGCAACTGTTTACAAGGAAAATTAATATTAGGAAAGTAATGTATTTTAGCTGACTTGAGGGAAACCAGTACCTTGCTGTTAGTCACCCTCTCCACACCACTAGAGGATGCCCTCTGGATCACAGTTTGAGGACTGCCAACTTTAACAACAACTGCAGAGACAAAAGCAGTTCAAAATTCTTCAAACTAATCGAATGGAATATCTCACTCCTTACCTGAATGGACAAACTATTTAGTCAACATGCCCATTCAAATCCTTCACTTCCTGCTGAGACTGCCACCAAGGAGAGAAATGATGTTGTGTGTCCTCATGTGGACATTAAGAACAACAAGACTAATATCAAACAGTTTTCATAGAGCAATTACTTCATCGCTACAGACCTCTAGGTTGGTCACTGGAGCCCAATTTAAATAAGGATTAGTAAACCTCAACTCAAGGCTGAAAAAGCCACTCAACGTGGACAAGTAGGAAGCCTTCCTGGGTGATTCCCATCAACTTCAGCGGGATCTAAGATTTCATTTTTAAATAATTATGTTTCTAGCCCTTGGGCCTGATACTCAACCGTCATGTCTCCTTGTGTCAATCTAGTTAACTCTGATCATAGAATCATATACTTTAAGGTCAGAAGGGACCATTACGATCGTCTAGTCTGACCTCCTGCACAACGCAGGATACAGAATCTCACCCACCCACTCCTGTATCAAACCCCTAACCTATATCTGAGCTACTGAAGTCCTCAAATCGTGATTTAAAGACTTCAAGGTGCAGAGACAAACTGCTATAATGAATATAAGCACATGATCATTTTCTCAAGTACAGAATTTTTAAATAAAATTTAAGACATGCAGTAGAAGATGCAGCTGCACTTAAGTACTATGTCTGATATATCATACATAGAAGATACTACAAATTACTAAATGTATCTGAAGTTCTTTTACCAAAAAAACACAACCTGTCGTTTGAGAAATAGCATGTGAATGAGTAATTAGACTTCTTATACTGCATACGCACAATGGATAAGAGATTAAGGTTACACAAGCAACCTTAGCGCTGCTATTTCCTGATCTGAGTGCTTAACTATGCAACCTCAATTTTTTATTATTATTTTTCCATTTTTATGACATTTACTAGGGGTTTTTTTTAAAATAAAAAGGTTAGACACCAATTAAAGACATTGCCCCATATAAGGAGTACACTAAATAAGAGTCCTCTACTTCACATTGTGCTTAGTTTTCCGCTAACCAAGGTTCACACAAGGTTTTCAAGTATACAAGTCAATACTTACCGAGTGGATCCAAACTTCCACTGTTTTCGAGTTGGATCAGACGCCTTTAAGTGCACACACTACCCAAAACAGGGCGTCCCTGGCAGCATCTTAACTGCCCAATATCTGAGGCACTCTCCTTCCTACAATAAGCAGCTAAGTTAAACCTGAACAATACAAACTGTGTTCTCTAGTTAGAGAATACTTAAGGAGAAGATTGAAAAAAATCATACCCACACTCACATCGCAAAGTGTGATTTTTAAGCCCCCAAAAATTGATCCAAAAACTTTGCTGCAATACTCAAAAGCGCTTCCCTGCCAAGTTTCAACTTGTTAACCCCAGCCATTTTGTCTTTTTTTTGGTTTGTTTTATTAAAGAAAGGTCACCATTTGTCTTCGCTCTGTTCATATTCAATAATGGTGGAGCCTCTCTCACCCTCATAGTTTCAAGAATAATTTACCTTTGGGTAGCACCCGGTATAGAAACTTTCAGCCCAAAAGGTGAACTTTAACAGGGAACTAGCAACACAGATTAAAAACAGAAACACTAAGGGCTTGTCTAAACATGGAAATTGACTAGCATAACTATATAGTGAAATAATTATTCCACTGTGGCTATGCTGGTATAACGCTCCCGTGCTGACGCACTACTCTGAAATAAGTGACTTTATTCTGATATAACAGTAATTTATTCTGGAATAATTCTAATTGCTGTTTAAGATACTAACTTAATTGTAATTATTCCAGAATAGAATGTTCTCACAGGGGAGTTATACTAGCATAGCCATAGTAGAATCATTATACCACTACAGCAGTGCCGGTTATTTTCTCTGTGTAGACAAGCCCTTAGGCATCCTTACCGCTAAGTGATGCCTTCACCCCATCTATGAGGTTTAGAGGACACCTGAAGACCACATGAGCCAAGTCTGAGACATCTTTCAAGACATGCAGCCCACTTATGGTTTTATTCAGGTTACGTAAGATGCGCTGCTTTTAAACATTTACCTACATACAACTTTAGCTGTATTTAAGATATGATTAGAATTACACAATATCTTTCAAGAACAAGTAATATCTCAAAATACTGAGATGACCTTAGTGACACTACTCCCAAAATAAACCAACAACCCTTCCTATAAACCTTTATAAAAGTTTAATTATTTATAGTACTGCAGTGCCTAAATTCAGTAACATTCATAACAATATTCAAATACAAACAGCATAGTACTGATAAACCTGCAGAATCCTAGAATTCAAGTGCCCAGAGTTCATATAGAACCTTTTCTATAACTACATCACTCAGACTCCAAAAAATAAGAAAACAATAAAACAAATCAGGATGTTAGCTCAATGGTTATTCACAGTCTGAACCAATACGAAGCAAGCCACAAAAATACCTGGTAACTTTTTTTGTTTCAAAGAGCCAATGTCTTGTTTTATAAATAAGTTTCAGTAGAATATACTTCAAAAAGCTTACAAGCCATTCAAAACATTAAATCACAGAAAGACAAGGTTTTCTCTGCTAAAAACAAATTTTAAGGACTATTTTGTTATTTAAAAAGTGTCAGTTTAGACAGATTCTAGCAACAGCAATACCAACCACCACCCACATAAAACTCCTAGCATCACTAGCTGTTTTACCAGTACTTCGTATTAATAACAATTTATCAATTTGGGGAGTGGTGGTGATAACTATTCTTGACACGGAAAGAAAACATGAACTGACATGACCAGAAATATTATCTATTTCCTGCATGGTCCCACTGCAAGTGTTTTTTGAATCACTCACTGCTGTATGGTTCTTTCTATTCTTATGTAAAGGATTTCACTTTTTAGTAGGGAAAATATTAGCCTTGACAAAGTACATGTGTATATGAATGTTAGTGTTTACTAGAGCACTGGCACGTCAAGGAAACAATACATAGCCCTTTTCATCTATAGATTTCAAAGCACTTGAAGAATTATACTCATTTTACAGATGAGAAAGAACTAAAGAGGTTATGTGATTTGCCCACGGTCACTCAGCAAGTCAATGGGAGAGGTGGAAATAGAATCCAAGTCTCTCAGCCTAGTCTGGTGCTCTATCCAGCATACCATGATGGAAAACAATTATTCAATACTTTTTGCCCAGACAGAATTTAGGATACCAGTCTATGTAAGTTTTATTTTTTGGAGGTCTCCTGTAGAAAACCTCAGTGCTGCAATGGTACTAGTGATACAGGAAATGGCAAGTCAGTAATAGAACAAAGTGCTAGAATGGTGTGGGCAGTACTGTGCTGCTAAAAGTGACAACTTTCAGATGAGACATGGAACTGAGGTCTTCACTAGTTGGGCTCATTAAAGATCTCATGGCATGTACCATCAGAGGCAGGAGAGTGTCCTAGCCAAACTCCAGCTGAGATAGTTACATAATGCCTACCAGTACTTCCCTGCAGTTTCAATTAAATACAATACTTTTCAGTTCTGGACATAAATTGTCCTGTAGTGAAACAGTTGCTCAGACCCACCTCAGTGACAGAGAAGTGATCCAGGCAGCTGAGGCACTACTAATGCTTGTACAACACTCATATCTGAGATAAAAAGTACTCTGGAAGTGCAAGATAACTACACAATTCAACATTTTTAGATGAATGGATAGAGTACACAAGTACATCTGTCTATCTGAAAACTTACTAAGACAAACCATGGTTATTACAAGTAGAGCTTAAATACTGTGTATTAATATGACTAAAGCTGTCTGAAAACTTTGATCCCATTCATGAAGTAAAATGCTTTGGCTCGTGAGAGCTTTTGCAAAACTCCTACTTTATTTCCATAAGAGATTTGCATTACTCTTTTCACAACCTTTGTAGCTATTCACAGAGCACTTCTCTAGACTCAAAAGTTGATTGCATTCACAGACATGCACAAGTTAGTGCCACAAGGAACCTAAAGCTGCAATGAGTATGGAGTGACAGAATATAATAGCTCAAAAACAATGGAAAGGGAAACAGGTCATACAAGGAAAGAGCTTTGTTAAAGATATTATACACACATATCTTTTACAAATCATTTATTGTTAATATAAATATAAATTGTAAGTTTCACTAGTCACAATATGTAAAATTATCTTTACTTAACCTACCTAACAGAGCAGCAAAAATAGGAAAGCGGTTTGGATTCAGGTCCAGTTGCTTGGCAACTTCATGCATCAGATATTGGCTTGTTGTGAGACTTTTCCCATTACGGCTCAGTTTTAGGGCATGGGCACTGAAATAGTAAGGGATGTTGCACAATGCATAATCGGAGTCATATGCAACCAAACCATGGAAACCTTTTTCTCTGCAGAAAGCGATTACTTCTTGATGGTGATCCTCAATGCTCTGTGCAACCTATAAAAGAAGAGAAAAAAGCATTAAGTCTTTTCTCATATTTAGTATGATACACTGAGATCCATATCTATAGCTTAAGGAGAACCTGAACATTTGGAGTAAGTTTAAAATAAAACAAAGATCCAAAGAATGCATTTTGAGCAGAGATTTCATACAATGCTATAGGTAGCATGTTGTGAAAACACTAAGATCTGTAAGGTATTCAGACAGGAGTGATATTACTTAAAGATAGCTCAGCATTATTGGATTATGTTACATTTTAACAGTTTTTCAAAATACACACATACACTACTACACCAGTCAATATCAGCCAACTTATGGAAAAAAGATTCTCAAGGATGTACTTAGACTCATAGACTCATAGACTTTAAGGTCAGAAGGGACCAATATGGTCATCTAGTCTGACCCCCCGCATGATGCAGGCCACAAAAGCTGACCCCCCCACTTTCCCTTAACTCTGCTGTTGAAGTCTCCAGATCGTGATCTAAAGACTTCAAGTCGCAGAGGATTTTCCAGCTTGCAACCCCTGCCCTATGCTGCGGAGGAAGGCGAAAAACCTCCAGGGCCACTGCCAATCTACCCTGGAGGAAAATTCCTTCCCGACCCCAAATATGGCGATCAGCAGAACCCCGAGCATACAGGCAAGATTCTCTAGCCAGACCCTCATTTTACCAGCGATGGCCGTTATTGCCTAATAGATTAGAATCCCGTAATCCCATCAAACCATTCCCTCCATAAACTTATCTAGCCTAATCTTGAAGCCAGAGAGGTCTTTTGCCCCCACCGTTTCCCTCGGAAGGCTGTTCCAAAATTTCACCCCTCTGACGGTTACTTTCCTAGTCACTGAAAGGACTAGAACAGAGTGGTCCCAATGGAGGCATAATTACAGAAGGCTCAAGTAAGTCAAATAAAGACCAACTTCTGACATTGGAAATAAGTAAACTTCCTGATCAGACAACAAGGGGCTTGTGTAATAATAATTTTTAAAATCGTCAGATAAGTATCCAACACTCCACAGTCTGCCCTTCCATACACTGAACTTCCAATGACTCCAACAAGTTACAGGAACCACAACTGCAATATCAAGCCCCAAACAAATTTTAAAAAAAATTGTTTATGAAAACTTACTCCTTTGTCCTCTGCTGTTACCTACATCCCAAACTATTAGTCAGTGATTTGGAAAAATGCCGAAAGCTTTCATGCTGGTACAACCTAGCCTCAAAAAGCATCTGAATTTAAAAGTAAAATGCCTTGAGATACCTATTCAAACCCAAGAAAAATAGCAAACACAAGGGTAAAACAACAGTTCAATTCACCACAATACATATGTTTATATAGTTATAAACTTAGACTTACTGATAAATTAACCAAATTTAAGTGTTAGTTTGTAAGATACTTGGGACATGGACAGTCTTTTTGTTCTGTGTTTCTACAGCACCTAGCACAACAGGATCCTGGTCCATGACCAGGTCTCCTATGCAGTATGATAACACATATAATAAAATAAATAATCATAATAGTTCTATCACTCTTCAGTCAAACCAGAATAGTTTAAACTAACACTTTATTACTTAGTAAAAAAGCTTTAGTTCTAAAAGCAAATTTAAAAAGTTGTTTGAACAAAGCAGCCCTTGTGCTCTGAATATTATTCCATATTATATGCATGTAATACAGTCACATTGTATTGATCTTCTATTGATTTTCAAGCTTTTGGTAAGGATACCAAGAGTGTAAGTTGAGATTTACACATGTAACTTCATGACTGACTCATATTTAGAAACTTGAGTTACTGGACAGTCAGCATTTTACTCAGTATTTTGTTTATATAGCCAATTTAAAGTTTGCTAAAACGTACAATTTTCTTAAACTTTTACCTAGTTTCTTAGGGAAACTATGTTTGGTATATTTGTTAAGTATCAAGGGATGAGGAAAAAGTTATGATCTTCTATGTTTCACTTTTTCTATCTTCATCTTTTAACTCCATGGCAAAGTTATCCTGATTGCAACAATCTGCATTTAAGGTCAACGGTGCACAAAGCTTCTCAATGCATTCCCTTGCTTCGCAAAGTACCCATCGTAAAGGTAACATCTTAAGAGTCCTTTCATAAGTATCTAATTAGTTACATCACCATTTGGTGTGGTATGTGTGGCTGTTTTCTTCATGTCCAAGATAACCTGCCACAAGGAGTTTTTCAGTCTATCAAGTTGTCAAAGATGACTCCAGTCACTCAAAAAGAAAAATGCAAGAGTTCAAAAATCAGATCTATAAAATGTTTTAAACTTGGGAAGGTTACTAGCACAATTTTTATGATTAACTATTACATTTTTTATAAGTATTAGCAAGTTATATGTATCGTGTACATGTTGGGCTCATATTACTGAACAACTGTGTTTAAGTAACACAAATAATTAAGCTGTTATATGATGAAGAGCTGTAATGGCTGCCTGTCAAGGTACAGTGAACTTTCAACTTTACCAAAACCCAAACCGGATACAAGGGCCACAAAACGGGTATAAAAGCTAGAGATAAGAGGTTTAAAAGTTGTACAAATCAAACTAGTTGGAACATGCATGTTATGCCAAAATAAAGCACAAAGGTGAAAATCAGAAATCTGGGGGGAAAAGCAATGCAACTTGAAACAATTTTCAGTGCTTAAAAAGACAAAAAATTAAGTTTAAATCTAAGTCACGTGTAAATGATGCCAGACCAGGAAAAGAGAAAATAATTCAAGATTTACTATCTGACACACACGGAAAAGAAAATGAGGTTCTGCCAAAGCACTAACAATGCTAGGTCCGTGCACTGCTTAATCATTTAAATTCTAACAAACGTGCTTGGCATAAAAACAAGTTTCTGTTTCATGAATTACATTTCTTTCAATGGACAACAAACAGACGTTCACGACAAAAATAAGGATCTGCAGAACATTTAATATCTCAGAGAAATCTGTGTTAGCTTATGTTGTGCTGAAGTACTTTAAAAATTCTTTAAAACTGCTCTGGGTGGGAAGTATTTACTTTTTTCTTAGCACAATAAACCGAGCTAATGGATAGTTTGTAAGAGTGCAGAGAGGCCTTAAATCACAACTGTTTCCAATAAGATTACTGAAGATTAGTTCATATTTAAAACTTGTTACCAATGTTCTCAAAACAAGCCTTCTTGAAACACCAAAATAAAATAAGACATTTCATTCTGCAATGAGGTTTTATTGCCTTATGCACATGCAAAAAAAATTAAACATGCAAGTTCAATTTACTCTTGCCCACCCAGAATGTTGTCAGAAACTGTGGGGTGAGTAGAATGTGAGGGGGTTTGGGATAAGGGTTAAAGAAGAGAAAAGTATATTTGAGAACTATAAAATAGAACACCAGAACTATGGTCAGTAAAAGAAAATAGTGCATGAGAACAAAAAAGTAGCTAATTTTGAGTGTAAAAAAATATATTCTTGAAAATAAGTTATTAGTAAAAAGTAGGAAGTTTATGGTCTAATCTTAAAATTATCTATATATACTCCTATCTACACAGCATCCTAGTTGGTTGTATAAACTGATCATCTATTTGGATTACTAACAAATTCTCCCCATTTCACAGAGGGCTGGCCAGTTCAAAGAAATAGAGCAATACGGAGCTGCCTTCTATCTTTAGGTCAGCAATTTGAATCTCTCCAACATTGGCAGTGACTAAAAAAGGATTACTCTCTGATAACTTCCAAGTGCTTTGGTGGGGTAAATCCAGCTCCCCAAGAGACGTGTGTCCACAAAACCCACCACAACTCATCCTTTATTCACAATCTCAGCAAAAAGGCCAAGGATTCAATAAGTATGAACTGTCCTCTCCCCACTAAAGTTGGTTCTTTCAGGTCAAGTTGTAGGCATGCTGGCAGGGAACTACAGAAAAACTCATGTTGCAGCTCCTCTTTTTTGTGAACAGCCACAAAGCTGTCAAATTCAGCAACTTTAAATACATTAAATGTACTCAAAAGAATAGAAACAACACACAAATCCAGTTTACATATTGCTTAAGTGACTATGGCTATGTCTACATTAGAGACCTTACAGCAGCACCGCTGTAAAGTCTCCTGTGTAGCCGCTCTATGCTGACAGGAGAGAGCTCTCCCATCAACATAATTAAACCATCCCCAACAACAAGCAGTAGCTATGTCGGCAGAAGAGCATCTCCTGCCAACATAATGCTGTCCACACCAGCGCTTGTCTGTGAAACTTATGTCAGTCAGGGGTGTGTTTTTTCACACCCTGACCAACAAAAGTGCTAGTGTAGATATAGTCAGCTACTAACAGCTAGTTAAAACTTATTACTAATTTGCTGCATGTTAATCAGCTATCAGTGCCAAAACAATCCATTTCATCTATAAAAAAAAGGTAGGAAAAAACCTTTATTTTACTGCTGGGAAATCCTCAGGTCTCTGGGGCTAAGAGGCAGAACCCAGAATTTGCACATTATACACCCCGACATCAGATCACAGTATCCATTTAAACAGTAGCAAAAGCATCAAGCAGGGGTTCCAGAAATTAAAGAGTTAAAAAAAAAATCTTAATATCTATTTCATGGAAAGACAACAGGACATATTATACTATAACAATAATTTCACATCAGACTTGATATTCCACCAGGTGATCTTTAATGCCCTTTTATTTAGAAAGCATTAAAATATTTTTTCAAGCTACAAAAACAGACTAATATAATCACATTACATAACCAGACTTGGACTAATCCTTCAAGTTTTAAGAAAAATCATAACAAATCAAACTATTTCATGCTGGCCAGGTACTGCATGGGAAAAAGAATAGCTGCCATCATGACAAAAGTAACCAGTGACTAAATAAGGATTTTAACTTTAAATAAATGTCAGGCCTCAGTGTTTTGCAGTACATAACAGACTATTGTGAAAGAGAGAGTTTCTACCCTGAGGGATTTCTAGTTTATTCTAGGTATATGCCACATCTGATTAACACAGGAAGGTGAAATCTCACTTCTCCTGTTAGCCGCAAGCTCTCATACCAAAAAAAAAAAAAAAAAATTAAATCTACAGACATACAGGAACAGTACAATCATTCACACTAACCTGTCAATAATAGTAACACATTGTACGTCTGTCATTCCTGTTAACCAATCACTACACTAGATAGATTAACCCCCAGAGTTATAAAATTTCTTACCAGTTACAATGGGATCAAGGGGTGGGACTTCCACCATCAGCTTAGGCTGAGCTGTAACTGCCTCTAAAATGCAGAATGATTTTTAACGCTGGGCCTTTCAACCTTAAATCCCAGATGGAAAATAAAATGGTACATTTTCCTCTGTGAATCTAAGGTCTCACTGAACCTCACAAAATTCCAGAAAAGTTATTTTGTTGTTTCTCCCTTTTACTGAACACTGAAAAACTTAACCAAAAAATCACTTCTTCAATACACTTTCAAGACAGCAATCTTTACAGAAACTTATCCTGAGCTCAAAGTTATCCTTTGGCCCAATTACAGCTGTGGTGTAATCTGCCAAAACGGACAGTACAAAAGCCGAATAATGTTAAGCTCCAATTACTGATCAGTGGCACAACTCTGAAGGTCACATAATATTTACTATGCTACAGAAGTAATAGACAAAGTTGGCAACTAGTTAGTATGTGTTCCGACTTCTTCTGCTCTTTTCTCCTTAGTGGACATTTAAACAAATAATTCCTGGAATTTTCATTCCAGATTTTAGCTACAAAATTTTCTTTTTGTGGTAAATAATATCCATTAAATATGTGTCATAATTTAAAAAAAATATATTACTGCAAGATTACTACAAATCTGGAAAGCTGGATAAAAAGTATATAAAATGTTTTGCAACCTCTCTCTTGGATGCTAGAGTAAAAAGATTATAATAAAGCCTCAAAGACATTCCCTCCTGCAGTCAAAACTATCAGCAAATTTATACTTGTCTGAAATAAAAACAGTTTAAACAACAGCTGCATAACTATATGTTAAGCAGTTCTAGTTTACAAGAAAAATAGGTTATGACACTACTTTGTGTTAATCAATTATTTGAGAATAATGGATTAATTAGTTTAAACTACTTGAAACCCCTTTATGGAAGTATTCTGGGCCTCTTTATATTTTACAAGTTGTTTTTAGCTTTTTACCATAGATTCTGAACATCTACATTTTAGCCTCTGATAATACACTTCATTTAGGCAAAACATCTTCAGTTTAAATGCAAATTAACATCTTGCCTCATGGTAGAACTTGTTGCTGGCCTATCAAGTACAATACAACTTTGCTGACTTTTCAGTAACTGTTGTTTTATAAGGCCTATTTAAACTCTTGGTCAAAAATATGTAATACTGCACTTGAAGGTGCAAAAATGTAGAGTATATTGTTATCTGTGGAGCAAATTAGCTAAGTATGTTTCTAAGAAGAGGGAACTCAGGGCAGCAAGGGACATTTTACAAGTCAGATAAGTGAATGGAACAATGACCCCCAAAAGAACATGGAGGCAGAGGATCTAGCACAGAATACTGCACCCAGTTTTAAAGCAAAAGAAACTACCCAACTTTATATATAAACAAGACTGTCAGCTAATCAGCATTTGGAGGATGATACCTGCAAATTCAGGTCACCCTACAAAACACCATCCATCAGCCACATTTGATGGGTGAGCAGGACTCTGTGGTTTCTACCCCAAGACGACATGAAGGGGAGTAGTGAAAGAGTGAAGAAGAGAATCTACAAATGAAGGGATAGAAACTACAACAGAAAGGGGAAATAAGGATACCCCACAGTAAAAATAAAATAAAATAAATAAAGATGGAAAGAAGGACAAATAATATAAAATGCACTGAAAGAAGCGAAGAACAAGTAAAAGGAAAGCCAAGGGAAAGCAACATAGCTAGTCCTGTTTTGGAAACCATTAAGTTGTTCCTATACCCCATTTTGAAGGCATGCTGAAACTGTGATTTTCCTCTCTGTAGCCCATTTGGGCAGTTCGGCTGGCGAAGGGCTCTCCCCGGATGCTGTAAATCACCCTCATTTTGCTTCCACAGGCTGACAGGTATGTATAAATAGAAAATCCCAGCGGAGATTAAGGACACCAGGGTGCTCACTACACTCTCTCCTCTGCCTGCTAAGGGCACCCTGCAGCTCCCAGGCGGCAGCGAGGCTAGTTAGTTTTGCTCCAGCCTGAGGGGGTCCGCGGAGAAGGCAGCGGTAGCAGCATAAACTTTGGCCGCGTTCAGTTGTGCAGCTGCCGCTGGCCAGTGGAGGCCGCTCCCAGGGAGCTCGACGAACCTCCTCTCCCCGCCAGGGTTTGACGACATTTTGCGGATATGGGAATACACGATTCCCCCTCCCCTCGCTGAACTCGGTACGGACATTACCGGGAGGGCAATCCTGATGCCATCTTAGAGCCCTACCTCTCCCCAAGCCGTAGCGCCGGGAATTGGCCACAGGGACTGAAGAAAGCGGCAAGAGGGGCGCTGGTGCCATGATGGGGGAGGCCAAGAGGCGTAGCGAGAGGGGGCGCTGGTGCCATGTGATGGGGGTGCTAGTGCCATGGTGGAGATGGGGGGCCAAGGGGCGCAGCGAGAGGGGGCGCTGGTGCCATGATTGAGATGGGGGCGCTAGTGCCATGGTGGAGATGGGGGGCCAAGGGGCGCGGCGAGAGGGGGCGCTGGTGCCATGGTGGAGATGGGGGGCCAAGGGGCGCAGCGAGAGGAGGCGCTGGTGCCATGGTGGAGATGGAGGGGCAAGGGGCGCAGCGAGAGGAGGCGCTGGTGCCATGGTGGAGATGGGGCGCCAGTGCCATAGTTGAGAGGGGGAGGCAAGGGGCACAGCGAGGGGGGGCGCTGGAGCCATGGTGGGGAAGGCCGAGGAGTGCGGCGGGCGGGGGCAGGCCACTGGGCCCCGCTGCTCACCTTGATGTGGAAGCGGATGAGGGCCAGGCGGATGCAGTGCGCCATGCAGACGGGCGGCAGGAACCAGACTTTGGGCGGCGGGGTGCCCTTGTTCTGGACGTGGCTGACGATCTGCTGCGCGGTCTGGCGCTCATTGCCCTGGCGCTTCACCCACTCGTGGAGCCGGGCCTTCTCCAGGGCCCCGTTGAAGAAGACGAAGAGCTCGATGTTGCCGTTGAAGCAGGCCTTGGCCAGCGCCGCCAGGTAGCCCAGCATGTGGTTCCACTGCCCGCCGCTCACCCAGTCCGTGTAGAAGCCGCCGTAGAGCCGGTGCAGGCAGTTGTCGGCGTCGATGAGGAGGCGCAGCGGGGTCTGAGGGGGCCGCTGGCGGCCCCCACCCACGAGGCTGCCCCGGGCCAGCTTCTGCAGCTCCACGGGCACCACGGCGCTGGGGCAGTGCTTCTCGATGTAGTCCTGGAATCCCTGCACTCCCATGGCGAGGACCGGGCGGGCGGCGGCGGGCGAGCGCAGGCCCGGCGGCGGGGTCTGGGTGCTGGCCGGGCGATGGGCTGTGGCTGAGTTGCGGGCGGGGTGGGAGCGGTGGAGGCGCTGCTGCTGGAGGTGGCCGTTCAGGGGGGAGTTGTGTGGATTAGTTGGGGGCTCATGGCAGCTGCGGCCGCCATGTGCTGCTCTCACAGAGCCATGGATCAGGGACCCGGGCTGCTGCCGCTGCGGCTCCTACTGCCGGGGGGAGGGGGAGCGGCACAGCGCGCAGGAAGCCACCCCGCCGCCGCCGCCGCCTGGAGCAGGGAGAGCGGAACAGGCGGGACTTGGCGGCGGCCCCCGCTGCCACTCACGGGCCCGGCGCGCCGCGCACACAGTAGCCTCAGGGGCAGCACCCGCGGGGCTGGGCCGCGAGAGCGCCCCACCGACCCGGCCTCTTCCACCTATACGGCACCCCTGGCCTGCAGCTGCGGCACTCGGGCGGCAGGGCCTGGGCGGCCGGGCAGGGCTGTTGCATAACCCAAGCATGCGCCCTACGCACGAGCGGGCGGGGGCTACTACGCGGAGGGGCTTGGAAGTCGGGGGGGCGGCAGACGAACCGAGTCACGTGGGCGGGGGCCTGGAAGAGGGAGCAGAAGAGGGGCTCGGTGGAGGGAGGCTGGAAAGGGGAGGGGGCTCGCTCGGCGGCAGGAGAAGGGGAATGGCCGGGCGCGCTGCAAAGCCGCTTCCAGGCAGAAGCTCTGCCCCGCTGGGCACGATGGCAGCGGCCCATGCCAGTGAAGTGTGGTCGTGCGAGTTGAGGGCGGGAGGAGCGCACTGGGGGAGGGGGGTGCTGGGTGAGAGGCATCCAGCCTACTGGCCTCCCCCTCGGGCTTGGCTCCAGCGCTGCAGGAATTCTCACACATTTACACACGCCCAGAAGAGCGGGCTCCATGTGGGAGTTACACGGCACTGTTCCCGCTCCCGTTTCTGCGCAGCAGTGTACATGTCATGCTGTACAAGTGCTGGGCAGGAAAGACAGTTTGCTGCACGTAGGTCAGCCAATGAGAGAAGTGAGCTGAATAGTGTCAACTTCCCGGGCTGAGTGGTCACTAAGTGCCCGTATGAGGGAGCTGGCTGGGCCCCTGGCTCCCCGCGATTCGATTTCAGGCAAAGACAAAAATAATGCCGGGCGCAAGTGGAGAGGAAGTCATGTTCTTCCTCTAGGGATCTCCCACCAACTCCTGCTTTGGAGAAGGTTGGCATTTAACTGAATAAAAAGCTAGTTTTGCTTTGTGCTATGCACACACTGTGCTGTACAGCTCTATAAATGCTAACCTGGAGCAGTGGTTTTCAATCTTTTTTCATTTGCGGACCTTAAATTTCAAGTGGTGCTACAGACCCCTTTGGAAATCTTAGACCTAGTTTGCGAACTCCCAGCAGTCTGTGGACCACAGGTTGAAGACCACTTACCTCGTGCATTAAGAATAGGGGACATAACATAACAGGTAAAGTATTCTATACTTTTAGAAGTGCTTTTTTTTTTACCTTTATTTAAAGTAAAATAAAAACTGCTTAGTTTTTTGAACATCATTGCTCAGATAAAAGGAAAACAAATCTTTAAAAACAAATGCCTCTGAGAAGATGGACCATCCTCCCCTCTTGCTTTGATTTTGCTGGTTTAGGAGGTTTCAGCCTACAAAATACAAGTCCATTGAGATACGAAATACCATCAAGCAATACTTTGCTTCACACTGTGCCAACAGACTTGTGTGATGTCCAAATCTGACAATATAAAACTGGCATAGTCTGTTTGTTTTTCTAAAATTGGCACAGATTAGAAGGATTTAAAATTTGCTCTCTCCACACAAATACAATAATAGCAGTTATTTTAAAAGAAACGCAGTAGTAAGAAATAAACCTCAACTCACCTACAGCTAAAGATTTAACACTACCAGAAAACCTTCCAAAATGTCTTTGGTGGCCTGTTCAACAAAAGTATATATAAAACCAACTCTATTCACATAGGCCTGACAAGCACAACTGGTTACTGATCTGGGTATGAATTTAAAAGCATGGCAAAATGCAGTCAGTGGTATAGGAACTGCCAGAATAAGATCTCTTGTCCTCTTCTAACCTGCTTCCAGTATTATGGTGATGATTTGCTCACTCCAGTTTCAGCTAGTGAAATTGTTTAAAGAGGCCCAGATTTGGCCTTAGATATTTCCTGGCAGAGCATACATATTATCTTTGAAATATCAACATAGTGTCTCAGTATTCCTCGATGCTGGTCAACTGGCAAATACTGCAGATGCCTTATACCAAGTTTAGTATTTTATTGGTAAAGATACATTTCATTTTTAATGAGATTTCAGATTGGCACCTAAAATAAATATTCTCTTGTGACTCACTTGGTGGTGACTGTTTCCTAGGGAGTTGGTTGATTCCCTCCTGAGCAATGCTAACTCAACCCTGATTGGAGGACATTTGTATCCAAGAGTGACTGATGTAGCCTATAAGGATGGTAAAATGAAGTATACAGAAAACTTTGTGGAAGTCCTTAATAAAAAAAAAAGTTTCCTGAAAAGTTTAAAAAATAAAATCAGTGGACAAAATATGCAGCACCTTTTCAGATAACTTTCTCCAAAGGTATTCATGAGTATCTAGTAAGAGCATTTTCTTAATTGAGCCTTCATCCCAAGGCTCAAATGGATTCCCCCTTCAAAGTGCAATCACTAAGTTTTGTTATAACATTAAGGATGCTACAACAAAATACCTTGGAATAGTTTACAGTAGTACAAAATATGACACAAAATAAACATTGCAATTAATTGGGGATTTGACAGAGGAGAGAGGATTTCAGGTGATTTTTAAAAGAATCCAAAGATTCAGCAGAGCTTGACCAACTGGACAATTAATGCCACAGATGCAGAGCATGAAAAATAAAAACAGATGGTCAATAGAGTCTGCACCCGAGGTATAGTCAAAGGTACAGGCAAGGAAGAACAGAGTTTGATCAGGAACACCTAAAAGATAGTTAATGTAACTTTATGACAGATCATTCAGACTCTTAAACAACTAATGAAAAGATTACAAATCAATCTAATCTCAGGCCAGAAACCAATGAAAGTCTGTCAGGACTAGTGAAGAATTGAGGATTCCATCAGTATTCTGAACAAACTTCAACAATTTAGGATTCAGCAGAACCAATTAGCGGGGTGGTGGAAAGAGGAAGAGTCTTTGGAACAGATCTTTAGCTGGTGTAAATTTCATAGCTCCATTGACTTCAGTGTACTTCCTGTCTGAGGATCTGCCACACTGTATCCTGCTCAATCCTGCCACAATTTAGAACTATTTCCTATGTGGCTCCAACTCCAGCAGAGCAAGATTTCTATATCTTCTTTGTATGGAACAATATTGAGAGGTCAAAACATCCAAGAGACACACTGGATGCAATCAGGAGTAATTCCGTCTTAATATGTAACTAAGGATGACTGGTCCCGAATACCCTATTGCAGTAGTAATGGCTGCAACACTAAAACCCTGCCCAATATTACATAATTATCTCAATGCCAATGTCGCATAGACCAGGAAGGACAATCATGATCATCTAGGCTGTCCTCCTGTACATTGCAGGCCACAGAACTTCACCCACCCACTCCTGTAATAGGCTTACATCCTGTGGCTGAGTTACTGTTAGTCCTCAAATCTTGATTTAAAGACTTCAAGTTACAGAGAATCCACTCTTTACTCTAATTCAAACCAGCAAGTGACCCATACCCCACACTGCAGAAGGTGGGAAAAAACTCCTAAAGTCAATCTGATCTAGGAGAAAATTCCTTCCTGACCACAAATATGGTGATCAATTAGACCCTGAGCATGTGGGTGAGAGCCATCAGCCAGATACTTGGGAAAGAATTCTCTGTAGTAACTCAGAGCCCTCCCCATCTAATGTCCCATCTCCAGCCATTGGAGATATCTGCTAATAGCAGATGGGCCATATGCCATTGTAGGCAACCTCTCATACCATCCCCTCCATAAACTTATCAACCTCGGTCTTTAAACATGAGGTTTTTTGCCCCCACTAGTCCCCTTGGGAGGCTCTTCCAGAACTTCACTCCTCTGATGGTTAGGAACCTTCGCCTAATTTCAAGCCTAAACTTGTTGATGGCCATTTTATAGCCATTTGTTCTGGTCCCAACATTGGTCCCAACATAAATCCTCTCCCCCTCCTCTCATAATTGCCTGAAACTTTGTACTCTACACATTCAGACGTTACATAAATTGAAATACCTTTGAAGATTTGGGCCCTAGTGTCAAAAAGGGCCAGACTGCCCATGCTCAAAGCTTTTTGGCCATATAAGGTAAAGGTAGTTTCATTGAAAACTATACACTACTGATCTTATGCTGCCATTTGCTACTTCATGCATTGCTTGAGTCTCTAGAACATTCCAACCAGTCCCTGAAATGCACACAAAGCAAGAGCACCCCATTCAAATCAGTTACAAAAATAAAACATTATGGTTGTACCATTTAAAAAAATAAATACACAAAAACCATGAACCAAAATGAATTCACTATACATTCCAAGAAAAAGAGAAACTACTTAAAAGCAGCTCCCCACAGAATGAGGCTAGGTAGATAGATGGGTGGGAGTAAGAATACTGTGAAACTAATAGCTGTAAAAAAAAAATTACAGGAGATCTGGGTGCTGATTTGGAAATGGTCTTTAAATCTGCGGTAAAGCTGATGTAGAGCAAGGTGCTATGTGCACCTTGCTGGAGCTTCAAGCTATGTTTTTTCACAAGCTCCCCAATGGTTTCATGTAGATTTTGAATGAGAGAGAACAGGACTGAGCCCCAGGTGAGGGTATTATTCAGGCCAAGCAGGTATTTTTGAAGAAATTGGAAATCTGGCCCAAGTGAAGCCAATAGAAAAGGAGCATAAATTATGGCAGGCACAAATAAGATGGAAATAGGAAGACTGTTGAGAACAAATAGCCAAAGACAAAAACAAATACAACATCATTTAAGTATTTCAGAAACAGAAAGCCTGTGAGAGAATCAGTGGGAGACCTCGAGTGCAAGAGAGTTAAGGCAGCAATTAAGGAGAAGTCATTGAACCTAAATGATTTATTTGCCCCCTTCTTCACCACTGAGGATAAAGTGGGGACACCTTCCCTGACCTACAATTTATGTAATTTGGATGAAGCACTTAGAGACTGAAGTGTCAAAAGAGGAATGGCCATACAAGATCAGATCAGTGGGTCAAGATGCTTCAAAGGAAGGTGCAAGAAATCTCATT